CATTTTGACGTACGTCAAATCAGTGTGGAAGTAGATGGTCAGAGTTATCCTACTAAACCCTACAATGCCGATTTTGCAAAGTCCCAATCATTAGAATGCTACGATGGTCTATTGGATGCGTTGGGCGCTAAAAACCATCCTAGTGGATGCTGGACAGTGGATCGTAATGGCTATAACGAAGGTTATGCTATTTTTGGTTTTGATCTAACGCCTGGTCACACAGGAAGAGGACCGCTGACTTTAATCAAGCAGGGAAATTTAAGCGTATCGGTGACCTTTGCAAAATCACATACAAAATCCTTAATGATGGTTTGTATGATGGTATTTGATAGCATTATTGAATTTAACCAGCATCGACAATTAATTGCTGACTTTTCAACATGAACTCGGAGCAAATATCAGCGGCAATGCGAGCCAATGCCATTACAAATGCTCATTTTCGTGGCGTGTTCGCTGCCGATCAAGTTCCGTTGGACCTACGACCCTATCCCGCTACGTGTATTGTTAATACCGACCCAGCCAAGCAACCCGGTGAACACTGGATTGCCGTTTACCAAGATCGGCCAGACGTCATGGAAATATTCGATTCGTACGGCAAAAATCCAGCGTACTACAGCGAAGCTCTGCAGAAACGGTTTTGCAATGGCGATCGATTGATTACTCAAAGTGAAGTGTTGCAGTCTGATTACTCTACCGTTTGTGGTCAATATTGTATGTTTTTTTTATTACAACGGTGTAGTGGTCAGCCGTTCGGAGCGATTATCAGAATATTTAATGATAATAAAATTAATAATGACAAGATGGTCTGTCGATATGTTAACCATTATTTTAATTTAAATACACAAATATGTAACAGTAAATTTCTCGAGAATCAAATTTCTCGCTTAGTGAAATAAACAAATGCGAAAAAAGCGGTATTGCGAAAATCACACGTAGTGAAAATTACATCATCATTTTATCCAGCTGAGCGCGCACTTCGGTGCGAAACTGCGTCATGTAACCTTCCAAATCTAATGCCAGCAGCTGTTCGTAATTAACCTGATTCAACATCAAAAGCACACCATGCACTTGTTTCTTTTCCAAAATGTCTTTTTCGGCCATAGTCCATTCTTCATCGGTGGCAATTCCTCGCATTGGTGTGCGTCCAATAGTGCTTTCCCGGTGCTCACGAATTTTACGAAACATAATCTCCGCCAGTTCCTATTACAAAACAAAAAATTAAAACAGTATAAATGCTGCACAATACATAATAAGGATGAAATAAAATAATAAGGATAATATACAATAATCACACAATCATTGATTCACCTGTTTCAAACTGACTGAAGCGAGCCCAGGCATTGGATCCGGAGTAATGTCATGAGCTTTATTGATGTCCCGGATTTCCTTCAGTAAGGTAAAATCCACAACGAGCTCCTTCAGTCCTACGTAGGCCTTGCGTCCAAAAGAAATCCCCATCTTGGTCGGGTACAGGTCCTTGTTAGGCGTCAGGTTGAAGCGACGCACAGTAGCCAGATCCATACCGTTGTAGCGGCTCCAGCGAAAGTACAGGTTGTCGTCCAAGCAGAAATGCGGCGACAGCTTACCGTTGTCAAATGATGACGTGTTCGAGTCCAGGTCAGCTTTCCCGGTCAGGATTAAACCGCTCAGGCGAAAAAAATTGTTGACCGTCATGGCGATGTACTTGTTGGCATCCGTCGGTTTAAACGTCCCATCAGGCTGCTCCTTGAACTCGGCCAGGATGACCTTCGTCTCTCCTCCCAGCCAGCGGACCAGAGCGAACTTGTCGAACCCGATCTTGTAAACCGGCAGTCCCTGTTCGGTAAAAGCGAAACGCGTGTGCTTACTGGGTGGATAGGTGGCTTCTTGCTTAACCAGCTTCTGGCGCTTGATGGGCTCCAGCTCCGTGCGGTCCTCCGGGCGGTCCTTGGGGAACTTGAAGGTCAACTTGCGCTTGGGGTTCTTCCGGGGTGTTGATGGAATATCAGCGAGGAACTCCATTGTAAAATCGAAACTTCAGTATTTAACCGAACTTGCAAAAGTAAAACCCGCCAAAGATGTAGAACAAAAATTCAAACTAACTGACTACAGCGAGGTCTAACTGATAATGAAAGCGGTCGTTTACAAATGATCGTTAGTCGGTAAACTACCTTACCACACTTGTGCTCAAGCCGGTACCCAGTTAGACAGCGTTGTTAAAAATACTACGGGTCCATTTTGCAACCGTTGCGTTATGGTACCGTGTCCGTTTTACAACCTTGTACAATTTGACTACAGTATATGATACAGTAGTTAATTTAGTTGCTCTATTTTTTCTTTGCTGTTTTTCCGTCAATTGACAGTGCTGAGAAAATGGCTCCTCTCCACTGTGTTGTCGATGCGCAGTATACTGAGATGCAAAACGTTAAGATCATTAAACATTTGGCCATTATTTGCCCTGAGCGAGCCAGCAGCATGTTTTCAAACGTTTTCTTTCCGTCTAAAGATTACATTGTTGAAGAGTTTGGTTTAGAAAACCTTAATAAGGGAGTACTGTTCGGTATGCAGTTGTCGGAAAACCGACGCAGTTTACGGAATACTCTGGACACCTGGTACGCTGTGACGTTTAATGGTACTGACGATGACCGGGACTACACCTACGCTGTGGAGCATGACGTAAAGTTCTATGCCAAAGGAGCCGACAAGTGTGCGCTACTCGCTCCTATCTTGCGACCGGCTGCTGTTATCAATCTGGACGATTTGGACTGCCCACCGTTCCGTTACCTGTCCAATGATCGCCCCAGCAAGTACAACAAACCTGCCGCCTACGCAAAATGGCTGACCGAAGTATATTTAAGCAAGGATCCGACGATCTGCCCCAGTTGCATGATGGCTTTGCCCGCCCGCAAAACCCAGCTGACCAAGCATGAATGCGAATGTGGAAACGATTATTGGCGCGGTAAGGACTGGTCATTGCTTACCTTTACTCTAACTAACAATTTGCTAATAAATGTACTCGTATTATACAGACAGTCAAGGTGACGAATGTTGTGGTGACTGCGGAGTTAAGCTGCACGCTAAACCTACCGGACCTGGAGCGGAAACTACCGATGGCCCAGTATCTACCGCATAGATTTTCCGGATTGCTCCTGCGGACCAACCAACCATTCAAAGGTCACTGCCAGCTATACACCAATGGACGGATTACGGTAAACGGAGGCACCTCCAGACGGGATGCTCGTATTCTACTACACTATTTCATTAGTTTATTGCGTACGCTTGGATATCGTTGTTTATTTCATAATTTTCGAGTGGTCAACATGATTGGTACTTTTGACTTTGGTTATAAATTAAGCTTAGAAGATATTAGTAATCGCCTGCATTTATCCTATACTCCTGAACTATTTACTGGTCTCTCTATTCGCTTATCGACATGCACTGCTGTTCTTTTTCATTCTGGGAAATGTAATTTCTTGGGCGCCAAGTCCGCTGAGAATTTAGACGCTGCATTATTGGAATTAAAAGCAAAACTGTACCGGTGGCGAAGTGTGTACGTATGTACGAGTATGTACAACAAATACAACCATCTTAACGGCTAACAAATAAGTAGCAGTTACATTTTACACCCTGCAGTACTATACCGCAGGGTTACAATATTTTACACCACCTAGTAACTATCACCAAAGGGTGGTTACCACTATCACAGCTATCTAGCTGTTCCCATACGCTACACCCATATATATTAAGCAAACTCGTTCCACTTAGCCTCCTCTTGAACAACATGTACAGGTTACCCTCCTTATAATAAAAAACTCGTTCAGGTTAGCCTATCACTCAAAAACGCGTATACGAACAAATGCCTCTACTACTAACATATTTCTTATTTCGGCTCCCCCTCCGGCATTATAATCGTCGCTCTGATTATTTAAAGAATCAGAGTGCATTATTTGAGGATGTAACCATGCTTTATGGTGTATCTCTTGTGACCTTGTCCAAAGGTACAGTGGCTTCAAAAAAAACCCGTTCATCCACTTTAAACATAAATCGTCAGTACCGTCGAATTTTCGTGTCGCAAAAACTGACATAGCAATTCCCCTTTTATATGTCTACTTGAGTTCTGGTCGCGCATATCCCACCAACCGGGAATTTCTAAACGACATTTGTCAACCGTTAACATACTGTAGCGCATGGTTAAAAATTTCTTGGGACGCAGAAGGTCCAGAACATTTAAGATGCCACACGAAGTCATCGCAGAAGTTACCGCAAATTACGTGAAACCGAGCGCATACACATACTGTAGAAGGTCAAAGAATAACCTCGGTACAAATCCAGTGTACAGTACTTCGGTACAAATATACAGTATTTTATCCATTAATGCCCTCCCGATTCACAGACAGAAGCCTTCCAGAAATGTAGAACCCATCCAAACCCGTTAGGTAATATGCGGAGGAGCGCTGGGTCGCTAATTGATAAAATATGGCAACTGTTTTGCTTCATTAATGTCGTTCGTGTTTACCGGAAGTAACTAACGTTCTACACTTTTACTAACGGATACTAACAGATGCCAAGCGCCAACGTGCTGCACTTTTACTGAATTAAATTTCGAAAGGAAACCAATTCTCTGACACTAACGGGCACTATTGGGGTCTACGGTTGTTACGATTGTCCCCGGCCGTGTACGTAGTGACCTCTGTTTGCAATTACTTCCTAAGTTCCTATTGACTTTGAAGTTGGAAAAAGTTCAAAACGGCGCTAAAACTGATATCGTACGTACGAAGTTTGTATATACTTACTGTAATTATATGCTGGTGTAGTGGCGCCTTTTTAGCGTCATACCTCTTATGGTTAGTGTTAGCCGGGTGCAAGAAAAGCTTTGATCAAACCGCCCACCTATAGGATCTAAAAACTTTGCACGAATTGTGAGTCAGCGGGGCGGCACTGATTGCACTGACGGTTGCCGACAGCAGGTACCGCTCATAAAGCACACAGTTGACACTTGACAGTGCGCTCAGTCATCAGTCCCCAGTTTGAAATTCTAACCAGAAGAAACGTGAAGAACCTTTAATCCTACATCGTTCACGTTGATTTTTTTACCATAATCGTAATCACCAAAGCGTTTCTTTTCTTAGATCGATACTTCCCCGGATAGTTTTAACAGGTAAGCTACCGTTTAAAAAATTCTCTTGCCAGTTTAAAGCGAAACTGGAAACAAGTTTTCTATGTAGTTTCTTTCCTATGTCCGAATACGAATTTTTTACTGTACTTTTGTATTTACTGTACCGTAAAGTTTCTGTACGAGTACGAATATTTACTGTACTTTTGCGATTCTTTCGACTACCCTAGGCAGAGTAAGGTCATATCCTACAGGCTACAGTTATTTGTAACCAGGTTTTCTTCAGTGTTCGTGTGCGTCCCCATTTTCCACCCTTCCCTAATCTCAAAATTTATAAAGCGACCGAAAATGGGAAACGCGGACAGCATCCCCGTGGTATCCCAGTTGAAATCTGCTGTGCAGGCTGGTTGTGGGGACATGAACGGCGCTCTGCAGACGCAGGAGAACTTTACGCGGCAGTGTCCAATCATCAGCCACATGCGCAATGCCATTGAGGACGCTGTACCACCACAGGAACGCCGTCCAGACACCGTCTGCAACGCGCTGGCCGACGTGATTCCTGGCGTGGGCCACATTAAGGGTGCTGTGCATTACGCAATGGGTGATCATCCTCAGGGTGAACGCGCCATGAAGGCCGCGAGCCGCTCCACTGCCGTCATTGGAGGAACTATCGTGGGATTGGCTGTGGGAGGTTTGGGCGGGGCCGTTACAGGTAATGTTTCGCAATTGGCTCGCATACTTAAAAATTTTGAAGACACAACATATTGCAACGGTGATGCGGGAACCGCAGCTGGCTTTCAAGTTTGATTTGAAAAATCTGAAAGGTAACGTATTGCGATGACCTTTAAGGTGGTGACGCTGGAAATCGTTATATGGACGCCGCGATTGCCACCGCGGAAGATGCGATTAAAGGAAAGATCACACCGGGCGAGGCATTCGACGGGTGTGCCGCTCCGTTGCTGGATACCGTGGAGAAGCATCACAAGGCGGGTGCGATGTGGGATAAAGTGGAGAAGTCGACCGAATCGTCCGATAAAAGTCAACTCGTCCAAGCGAAGGGGGAGAGCGCCGGTATGGGAGAATGAAATGAATCATTTGAAATGGATTCACATCCCGACAGGACGTTGTGGTAGTTTGCTAGATGGGTAATTTTGAAGGAAGCTTCTGTTTCATGTGGAATAGATCAGGGCAGGACCCGCACGGCTTGTTTATTAATTTGTTGTTCTTGTTATGCGGTTGGAAATTTGGCATACGCTACGAAGCTCAGTATCTGACTATCTATACAAGTATTGTACATAGCATACTGCAGACTGTACTTGTACATAGGACTAAATCAATTATGATGCTGGCACACGTTTCTGAATAGTGTTTGATTTATTGTGGTCTTTGATTTTTATACCCTATGCTTATTTACTATCATTGCTGTAATTAAAAAATTTGAATATGAGCATAGAAAAAGGCTTGTAAGCTTAGCTGCTTAGGGAAGGAATTCCAGAGAAGGCGCCTTTCTAACCTTGATAACTGGCCGCCCGTGTCCGCTGTCGGACATCGAATTTTGAAGTTGCGTCATTCCGCTGGATGTTCTTATACCTTCGGAAACAGGTTACAGGTTATACATTCTTTATTAAGCGTAATCGATGAAACCAGTTATTTCTTGTGATTGCTCTTCTGCTTTGTACAGTGGGAAAGTGGGAAGTGTGAAGAAACTGGAAAGGTCTCCAGCTGCTTTTACCTACGCCGGCTGATTATAATCAGCACCAGCGGGTGTTGATTTCTCTAGTTTCAGGTTAATTAGCATGAGCAATGGGTATTAAAGCATGTCGAAAACAGGAGGAATATGGGCAGCTGTAGTAGGGCTGGGATGCGAATCGGCTTTGTTCGCCTTAACGCATTGGGAATTTGAAAGACAGGAACAACAGCAGGCTTTGGAGGGTCGAAACCTTAAGATATTCAAGTCCAATCGAACAAAAGAACATTAAAGAAGCCCGACGTAGGAAGTTATATAATCTTCATAACATAATCGATATTTTCACAAAATATTCCTGTTTCTATGTCATAATAAATGTCGAAATATGTCAAAATAATCCTATTTTAAATAATCCTTCCTATGTCAAAATAATCCTATTTCTATGCACTAATGCTATTATGGGAGTGACCTTTTTCGACATAATTATATAAGACAGCCGGCGTAAGCGAAACAGTTTACAAAGCATGGCGGCAGAGGACGCCGCTAGAACATCGCGTTAAAACTGCCTATCGGCATAGCTAATGTGCTCCTACAGTATACGGCAAGTGTATCCCTCTTAACAAATACATACACGCTTGCATACTATAAAGCGTCTATGTCGCCCACTGAGTAAAATACTTAATTATTCTAATAATTTTACCCAATCAGATACGTATGCACATATGATGAATACCTGGAACTTTTCAATACTTTTCGTGCAAATTCACAACATAATGTAGAAAAGTACAAAAGCCCAAAATAAACCCTCAAACTGGATAATGCATGTGATGTGCAAATTAACTTGCGTCATCATGAAGATCGGTAATAAGAATTGCAGTTTACTGGAATGGAATGTTTATTGGCAAGGCATCGGCAAGATTTTAACCTAGATTTTAATGCCGTCAGACAGAAACCAATAAAAGCGCATAATCAGTCCCAGAGAGGTTTCCTAGTCGGCAGCAATCCGTTGTGCAACCTTTGGGCAATTATTTCCATACGCTATATGGACATAATTGCCGAAAGGTTGCATAATGGATGGCTGCAGCCGGTCAGAAGCCTTTCTGGATGGCCGTTGTCTGGAGTATATTATGATCCAGAAACTACCCTGGAGGGACCACCCCGCTATAACGAGAAAAACTTAGGTGGCTTTGAATTTAAATTAAACCTGATTATGACTTTCTCAGAAATGTATTTGTCTACACTTGCTAATTCTGAGACGACACTACTCATGCTAGATTACAGCTTGGCATCTTGCTGGTCGCACTTTAGGCTTTAATGACACGGTTTTTAAATTTGGTACAGGATTACGTTTCTTTAACAAGTAGTTTAGAACAGAGTTCCCTGCCCTTCAAAAATCGCTTTTTCACAGAGGTCCCCTTTGGAAGAATTAGCGAGGAACTTCCTGGAGGGCTTGCGAACAACAGTGACTTTAATTGATAAAGAGCGATTAAATTAGCTGTACAGATACATTTTGTTGAAGTTTGTATATGTACAGTACTTTCTTGCGCTTTTGGTTTAATGTTATAGGTCTCAGGGGCGAATTTAGGGAGGGGGCACGTGCCCCCTCCGGAAGTTTTGGAAAAATGGGTACTTCAAAAAAGTAAAGGGGAAAGTACTGCTTGAAAAAATTTACCGGCTTTGCAAAGAAATGCAGAAAGTGCTATTTTTTATTGAATTTCTAGCGATTTTTTCAGTCAAACCGTTTGTTATCTTCGCGCTCCGCGCGAAGGTTCCTGTACAGTTTACGGTCTTCCACGAAGCTCACATTATCAGAGAATACATCCTAATCTTTTGTTAATAAACCATGTTCCTAAAGGAGTTTTATCAGAAACGCGTAATATTCTACTATTTTTTATCGAATTTCTAGCAATTCCAGGTGTAAAAGCGTGCATCGGCTTCGCGCTCCGCGCGAAATTTTACTATTTTTCTCAACTTTATATATGATATTACATTGTTGTTGTGCCGTTTAACATCCGCTGCAGAAAAATTTCAGTCACGTATCCGTAGTTAACTTATTTTTACAAATTTTTATACAATTTCTAGCGCTTTCTGCGATGAAATCGTGCGGCGGCTTTGCGCTTCGCGCGAAAATGTTCATTTATCATGTACTGTTGACATTACCAACTTTACCAACAATTTCGACTTTACCAACAATTTTGATTCAAATCCTACTTTATACAAAATTTTTTATAGGTTTTGTAGTAAATTATCTTGCTGTCTTTGGGGTTCTTGGGTTCTCAGTGCCCCTCCCGCCAAGCGAGTTAAATTCGCCTATGATAGGTCTATTTTACTGCAGTTACTGTACTGTACATTGCATCTGTACCAGTACATTTGTACGGAACGCAAGCTTCCATGTGCCATATTAATGTCGCATGTCCTTACACGAACCGGTACGAAGCCATACAATGCATAGACCGTTATTTTCGTCAGCTTTAAAAACAGCAAGCAGGATTCTACACAGCAGACAATAAAATTATGATTACTGTAGGTACTGTACTACCGTACAAGACAAACACCCTCCCACCAACATGTTCCAGTCGAGCACCCAACGCTCGAAATATTCGACAATCACTAGGTCCTTTTTTCTAACTTAAATGTGCCTGATCGCTAAGGCTATTTGAGTGTTATATCTGGTACCAGAACGAGTGTTTCCTGTGTTAGTGACATCTTTCAGCTCACTCCCGGTTCCCAAAGCCTTTCTCGCGCGACTAGCTTTATGCGGTAAACACCAGGTCTGAAACACTCTTTTTACTTCCAACCGATAATCCGGTTTCATTGCAAAGCAGATAACCTGAAAAAATTCTGGATTATCATAAATTCAAGGAGATATATTTTTTGAATGCATTTAATCAATTGGTATAAAGCTTACCGGATTTGAAGCATATCCGACAAGCTGCACAGCCGCCAACCATATGACGATCAGCGGGTAACGCAAATCGGTTTCGGCAACATTTATCATATTTATCATCACCGGCAAGATCATGGAACAGGCAGCTGTCCACACAAACGACGCACACATCATATTGGTGGTGATCATCCGCTTCCGCGTGGTCTGTTTCTTAGCCTTATTATCATTGGTTGTGCGTTCGGGTTCCGTCTGCTGTTTTCTGCGCACAATCTTGGCATATACAAAAAGATACGCCCCCGCTGTCAAAGCGCCGGGACCATAAAATCCAATTAAAACTACAGCCGATCCTACACGCCCAACAGGTAAAGTAGCACAGGTGCCTAAGGGCAACATGATGAATACCATCCCGAAATTAAAAAACCCGAAACCGGATAGCAGAAATGCTGCTACCCACAACACGGAGACCACCAGGATTTCGGTGCGTGCACGGGAAAATTGCCGGTATTTGTGTGGGAAACACAGCGCCACCACACGGTTAATGGCAATGTACAGATCGAACCAGTATGCCGCGAACCGGCATCCCATTTGTATCCACATGTAGGGTCGGCAGTCTTTGGGATCCATCTGCCAGCGGAACATTTGTTTGCGATAGACACTGGTCGCGACAATGGGAAAACTGAAGCCGCATAGTACGGAGTACGCAATGAGACAGTGTCCGATTAATACACCGCATCCCGTCCGCATTTTACTGTTAGAGAAGATCAGACCCACGATGAGCAGGTTGCCAACGGCCCCTTCGAAGCAGAGGAACAGGTAGGTGGCCGCCCATGGCTGGATCCATCGGGCCGGGAGAGAACCGAAGGATCTGTTAGTTGTCAGATTATTCCAACAGGTGACATTTGCCGGTACCGCCACACAGTTAAAGGACATTATAATTTTGTTGGGAATAACGGCTGCGTGGTATTAATTCAACACGAATGCTATGGTTTTGACAAAAGCGTAATACTGTCTGGGATCTGACGCAGTTACAATGCCCATCGATTTCAACATTTCTCTGCAGGAGTCCACATTACCCGCGCTTTCCTCTTATGTAGAGATTAGCAGTGCTCATACGCGGTGTAGATCGAGTCGAATTAGCACGAGCGCACAATGCAGCGCCCGAGTGTGCATAGCGTACGTGGGAAGTCGTTGCTCTCCTTTCTGTACTTCCATTTCCGCTTCCGCTGACAACATACGTACCGATCCCTGACAGATCAGCAGCTGTAGAAGATTTGTAGCATTACGGTGGATCGCCAGAGATTTGTTGCTAATGAGTGTAGTAATGCACCAACCACAAATCACGACGGAAATAATCCGGTTACGATACGGTTTTATTAGTCGAACAGTTCTGACACCAGGGTGTGTCTTATAAGTAAATAAATAACGAATCCAGAACACCGCTAATTTGCTGAGAAACCGGGTGTGCTTTGTCCGTAACTGGGACACCACCCAGCCACTTCTGATTTACAGTGATCAAATCTGGTTTAATTTGGGACTAGCGGTAAGTCGGGAGCGTAAATGAAAATGATCGCCACCTACGCGTACAACATCGGTATTTATTTTGGACACCATATCCCGTGGGTAGTGGGTAGCGCCGCGTGTCAGGTTTCTGTCGTCAACCAGGACAATACAAATCCTGTTGTTGTGTAACAGCCAGATCCGTCTAGAAACACCGAAGCGTTTCCAAAAGAAATCAGTAACAAATATTAACAACAGCCATTATGCGAGCACAGTCGGCATCCCAATATAAGCTGCACTTTCTGGACGGTATGATACAGCCTCCAGGTAACAATACGATAGTCGTCGACACGCACATTGCACGAGACACGCACATTGATCCGACGGTCAGGATTATTGGTTGCGTCATATAGCAGGCAGGACACGATAATGTTCTTTGTCGTCTGTTTCCGTCAAAACCGTACCACGGTGCAAGTGAGCATGCGATACGCATAAGTAAACGATAATAGACATACACAATTACAAATTAACACAATGTGGGAATCCCGAATCCGAAGGTTTTAGTTTATTTTATCACCTGGAAGCTGAGTAATTAGAAACACGCTGCAGGTTGCCTACCGCGGTCGCCGGCAAAATGAGTGCGAATATGTTATACATGTACCATACCGGTACGTTTACTTGGCAATAGACTGAATGAGATTCTTAAGCATTATGTTCGGTTACCATTGCAAGCAAATTTCCGGTACTGTAACGAGAGTCCAGACAGATTATTAAATGCCGATAGAACAAAGACGCACCGATTTCAGAACGTCTGCGTCGTTTTCCTTAACTGAAACTGCACTCTAGCTTTACTTTAGGCACAAACATCGGAGTATTAATTTTACGGAGTACAATACAATTCAGGACGACGAATGAGGTTCCTTTTTGAAAATAAATTCTTCAAAACATGTCGTTAATTTCCGGGCAGAGAGATACTCGGAATCATCAACTACAACACTACAACGTGGATAACAGGATATGACGTTGTGCGAGTACGACTGCATACGCGGATGCGGGAAACATTTCCACGGTCCTTTGTTCCCTCAAAACTGGTAGTACTGTGGCTTTGTTGAAAGGTGTGTATCGATTCAACCGCCTTTTCAAATTTAGGAATAAATGTGTGATCAGTTCTGCTTCGTTCAGTAGCTCGTGTTTTAATAAAATATAAGAATGTCGGGTATGTAAGTATTTTTATTCCATCTGTGTATATCGTCGACGTTTTCCAATTGCAATTTGTACTATACATAGTCGAATTCAAACGCTTGTTGGTATTGTTATACAAAGTATTTTTTCCAACGGCCCACGCTACCCAGTTTTTTGCTTTTGCTGTGTTGTTAAAAATGTATTACTGTGGCAACCGAAAATCAACTTATTACTGGACAAAAGTCATTCGAATTCGTCATTGAATAACTGCTAAGTTTAGTCTCCGTACTTGTTGCTATACCCAGATATATCCAAAAAAATGGAAAGGTCAAGCCAGCAATAGTTTATTAGCTACTGCATGAACAATTACCCATTTGCAACTAAACAGTCATTACTAATGATTCGTTGATACAGTTAGAGGGTCGAATTGGCCAAATTGGTTGGAAGTGTGTAACCCGGTTCCGGATCGTCTACTGATCCGAGATCCATTTGCAACTGGAAGAGCAGTAATTGGTAGGTGATGTACATTCCTGTGATCTGACACCGTAGGAAACGTTAACTAAAAACGCGAATCATTGCAGTTTGCGGTTCACGTTTCCCTTACACTAAGGACGAAGACCTTATCGATCGTAAACAATCCTCCCGCGCTCAGACCAATGCGATCGCCTGACAATCTCATGAGAAAGGTGTGTAGATGATGAATTTCGCCGGATTTCAGTTTCGTACCGCTTAGTTTGTATAAAACTTTCAAGGGAGAATGGGCCTGCAAACAAAAACGTTACGTTGGCAAATATAAACGTGAACGTGTTTGTATCATAAGAGACAGTGCAAAAGTTCGGACCCCTACCGCTTCGTTAATCTGGATTCCAGATACAGTAAAAACTGCCAAATGCAGAATATGAAAGAAGCACCAAACACACTCGATAACCGCCATAACTAGCGTAAATAATCCCTGGGCCAAGTTCTCCGCCACAATAAACACCATCATGAACAACGAGACCACATTGAACAGGATCGACAAAAAGGTCATCGGGCCGTAAATATCATCAACAATATCCACCAGTGTACAGAGCTTTTCATGCTGTTCCCGGTACCATTCCACGCTATGATCCACAAGTTCGCCGTTCTTAATATTTCTGCGTAGCCGATCGGTTAAGACGTCGAACTGGGACGTTAAAGCGCAGCTGAGAAGATACAGCAAAGCCAGTGGTACCAAGTAGACAAATGTGGCAAAGAAGTGCCCGATTAAGGTCACGACCGCTGCCAGCATTTTGTAGTCAGTAAATCCAGTAAATACGACATCGCGTTCACCATCGAAGGTTCCGTTATCAACGAGAACGATTAGCCATGTCATTAAAAGATTTATTACTAGAAAAATGATAGTTGCTACAGTGATGACGTTGCGTTTTCTCCGCAGCGTTTGGTCACGATGTAAATCGGGCAGACAGAATATGAGATCGTCCCATTCGGCAAACAGCTGAAAGTACAGTTTTTTCCTGCAGGCGCGATTGGTGATGGCATTGAAAGCGAAGAGAATGGCGAACCACATCACAAATGCTAGAGTGTGAATCAGCACGGAGAGATTATTCTTGCTGAAGGGATGCTCGATGGAGCGAAATACCGTCTGCGTACTGTGCAGACTTTTGCTAAAGTAGCACACGGTGCTGATCATGGCAAACCCGGTCCACATTCGGGAGAACAATTCGCGGGCATTATGTTGTCGTTCATCCCGTGCGTCGTCGTAATCGTGGGCGTACTTCTCTCTAGACTTGACCTTTGGTAAATAAAATATGCCACCAATGCGCATCAGAATTACAAGCGGTCGGCACAAGCTGTACAGTGTTCCCGTGTGTCGAAGCGCTGATTTTTTCTCCGTAAGGGAAAACAGTTTGTTTGTCATGGTATATAACAATTAGTCGCTTACATACTTTTCGTTGTAAGAATCGCTCAAGCTTAACAAATTTACTACAAAGGTTCGATGGATGGTGGCTGTAAGATCAGTATAAAATGAACTTTCACTGCAGTACTGTACTCCAGGTTCCTCTTTTCTTATGGATGTGAAACGAAATAATGACATTGTATACATATGCATATGCTGTATGTATAATGATTTCACGGTTGCAAATGGCAGTAGCGATTGCAAATTTCATGTGGCGAAAACCGTTTACATTTCAGCGTAAATTCCGCTCCCAGAGAGATCTACCCGCAGAGGGTGCTTATTGCACTGGTGCAGTATTTCGTAGTGTAAACACACTATATAAAGCGTAAACACACTTAGCATACTTCTGTTGAAGAGTGAGTGAACTAACAGTAGAATCTTGTTTTCTTAGGATGGAGAACCATGTGACATCACATATGCTGAACGGTACCTTGTAACATCTAGGTACGTAGTTAGGGAAGTGCTTTTATCAGAAATTTTATGAAACTGACCGCGAGGACAATACTGCGAGTAGTCTTAACTTCGGCTTTCCACCACATACAGATATACCGTATGCTAGAGAAGACCAAGGATGTGAAGATCTTCATTTAAATAGCGAAAATTTCTAGTTAACTTTTTTAGTTCCAAGGATATTGGCAAAATTAGTTCGAAGTGCTGTAGCATGTGAATTTTTGTTCACCAAGTTTTATGTGAACAACCGATTGAAACGTCCGTTTACAAATTTTACGAGTAGGTACATAAGAAAGGAATTCCGTTGTACGAGTATTATTATCTAGCCCAATCAGTCAAATGCTCACCACATCATTCATAACATTATCCTAGTACTAACATACGAATACAGCACATTAATAATAATTTGAGTGCTGTTATTTCGTTTAGTACATTGATATTTGAACGGTTGAGTTCAGTTTGGTGCCGTTTCGACAACCAACACAAAATGCCGGATCACCTACGGCTCCAAGGTCCATTTGAAGTTGGAAAAGCAGCAGTTGGTAGGTGATGTACATTCCTGCAATCTGAAAACACGGAATGAGTCTGCGTATTCATCGTAATATGGGAAATATAAGATTGTATTTTACATACACTGAAAACAAACGTCTTATCAATTGTGAAAGATCCGGCTACGGTGAGTCCGATTTGGTCTCCGGACAACTTATGGAGAAACGTGTGCAGAATATGAATATCACCGGGTTTTAGTTTTGCACTGCTCAGTTTGTATAGCAGTTTTTGAGGAGAATGTGCCTGTAAAATATGGTCAGACTGTCGATCTTGGTGGAATTGTAGCAATGCTCGTTACCGAAGCCGTTTTGCTTAGGTTGTAATCCTTACCGCAGTGTTGACCTTTATGCCAGCTGTGATAACTATCA